TCGTCGGGTGAGGTGGCGGTAGGTTAAGGGAGGCCTCCATCCAGCAGTCGGTCGACTACGACAGTTGATTAAGTTAATGAAGCGGCAACTTTTGACCTCTCAACATTTGCCTTTTCTGAATGGAAAAAAAAATCCCCGCCGAAGGATTATATAGTACAACAAGTACTGTGTGCGCGCGCGCGGGGGACTGTGTAAGTGATATTTTAATCAGGGCAGTGAGCGATGGGCTTTTCTCTCTGCCATTTTCAGGGCTCTCATTTCTGAGGCAGCAGACGCACGTACGCACTTCTCTTTCCCGCCCAAACGCACCCCCTCACCACCACCACCGCAGCCACCCCCATACCTCGCCTCTCCCGACAACGGCGTCCCCCCTCCTCCTCCTCCACCGCCCACACCAGAGGCGGCCCGGCCCTCCCTTCTGTCTGCAACCACTGCAGTATTTTTTCTGGACAGGAGTGGAAATGGCGGCAGCACTGCGCCATGCGTGCGCTGGTAATTTTCCACTCCGTCCCCCAACAGCCCCCACCCTCTCCCCCAACAGCCTCCTCCCCTCGCTGCTCTAATCCCCCTGTAGCCCCCACCTCCGTCTCCTCTTCTCTCATCTCTGCCCCCCCCCACCACTCCACCGCCTGCAGGCCTCCCCCCTCCACCCACATCGCTCCCCTTCCTTTCCACACCCCTCCCCCAGCCCATCAGCCCCGCCCCATCTCCCTCTGCTCCTCCCATCCCCCGTGGTCCCCCTCCCTTCCTCTTCGACTCCACCCTTCCCCCAGTGCCCCTCCCTCCCCCCAGTGCCTCTCCCTCCCCCCAGTGCCCCTCCCTTCCCCCAGTACCCCCCACCCTTCCCCCCAGTCCCCCCCACCCTCTCCCCATCCCCTCCCACCACCCCCATCCCCCCTCACCCTCCCCCGCGGTAACCATGGTAACCGCCTACGTGCCTGGCCATGGTGGGGAACGAGACGCGAACCACCCGGCACCCCCCTCCTCCTCCTCCCCTCCCCGTGTGCTGCTTGGAGGGAGCCGCTAATGCGCTTCCCTTAACAAATGTGCGGGTGTGCTTTAGCTCCTCCTCTACAAAGAGACCGACGGAGACACCGACAGAGAATAAGTAGGTTTCTTTCAACGCTTACACTTGGTTAAAGATACATTTGTAAAATAACCCCCCCCCCCCCCCGAAACAAGATGGTACATCCGAAACGCAAGTCAATATGGTGCCTCTTGCTTGATGACGGAAGATACCACGAGGCAAAAGTAGGGGGGGGGCGGTGCGAGATGAAGCACTTGCCTTCATCCTCAACACACATCGAATCAAACTGAGCATTCAATTAAAAGACGAACCCAAGTGATGATACTAATTAAATCACAAAAAAGCACACGCTGCTCATCAATTTCAGCCAAACGAACCGGAGCACCCCCCCCCCCCCCCCCTCTGCGTGGGCTGATGGTTTGGCCAAAGCTCAGTTGTGGTTCATTTCTCTCACAAAGGGCGGGGGGAGACGTTGTGAGAAGGGAAGGCAGATAAGGACGAGAGAGGGGGAGAGAGAGAACGAGAGAGGGGGAAGAAAAAAGAGAGAGGGGGGAGAGAGAGGGGGTAGAGAGAGAGGGGAGAACATCTTCAGGGGCTGGTCAACGTGCTCTTCGGCTACGCCAAGCTCGCCATATACAGGGCAAGGAAGGTGGCCCCGGAGGGGCAATGTCCGGCCAGCAGCCTGGACATCTTCCGCGCTCTGGTCGGAGCCAGGGTGTGTGGGCCGGAGTTCCGCCATGCGCGGCTGACCCACGCCGTGCCGGCCTTCAAGGAGCAGTGGGCACTGGAGGAGGCCGTGTGCTCGGTGGCAGATGACGGAGAGCTCTGTGCATGCAGATATGAGCTACCCGTCGGAGGCCGTTTGACTGTGGGAAGGGCTGCGTGCAGATGCAGCACTTGTCGTAGTTTAAAACATTTGTTGGGTCTTTCATTTAAAAGGGGGGGGGTTACATAAAGCAAAGCATTAAAAAAAACTAAATTATGAACGAAGCAAAGTGCCGACTACACCGAGCATCTTCTTGTTTCCTCTGATCGAAAAAAGAGAGAACGAGAGAGGGGGAGAGAGAGAACGAGAGAGGGGGGAGAGAGAGAACGAGAGAGAGGGAAAAAAAACCCCACTAAGCCGAGCCTCGTTTTCTCGAACATTCTGCACCCCGCGAGCCAATGGCGCCGCTCCCGCATTGCCTTCTCGGCAAGGCGCGGGCTCGCGGTGGCGGGGGGAGGCGGGGACCGACTGCCTCGCGCGATGCGCAATCTCTATACAAGGAAACATCTGCAAAGGCCGGCCGCGTCGAAGAGGAGGAGTGGGAGGAAGAAGAAGACGACGAACAACACGAAGGGGCGAATGGTGGTTGCTTTTTTTTTTAAACACGAATGACAAAATCCTCGCCAGGTCCGCCCGCCCCTTGAGAGAGTCATTGTATTTCGATGGGCTCTCTAGTCTCTCTGTCGTCTCACCTGGCTTTAAATAAATTATGACGATAGTGTGTGTGTATATACACATTCGTCTCGACCTTGGGCACACAATCGCACTTCCCTGGACGCTGCCGCCACGATACAGACACGGGATATGATTCTCCTCTCTTCACGTGGCAAGGGTCTCTCACCCCCAACCAAACGAGACACGTCTCGATGGAGGGCTCACCTTGCATGGCCACACGTGCCGTGTGTCAAGACACGTGTGTGGACAGCGGTGGCACAACCGCGCATTACGAACCCGGCCACCCGAGTTCGATTCCAACACCAGTGACAATAATCACGGCCAACACCCGTGATTAATATCTAAACCGGTCCCCTAGGTCGACTCAGCCTCAAGCGAGTACATGGTGCGGTAGTGTAAACATCGCCACTCGGGGGGGATGCAAAGGCGGCTGGGCGTGGTGCTGGCCAACCCACCCGCTCGTGTGCCACATAGGCGCTCGCTATAACAGCACTTGCCCCAACAGTCCGTTAAGGCTACACGGGGGATCTTTGCAAAATGTAGAAACGGTTGGAATAATCACAAAAAAAACAATGTGTGGCAGGGGTTGGTGCAGTGTGGTTAGCCCTCTGCGGTTTGTGAACCCAGCAACCGCAGTTCGATCCCACATCACGGCTAACATTAGTGATGTCTGAATCGGTGCTTGGCTTCCAATGACCCGGACAGCACGGGGAGGAGGTTCCCATCCAACAGTGGATTAAAAGAGGGCTGCATTTGCAAATGTGATTTGGAACTTTAATCCTTACCCATGGATCCAAAGTTAATTTTTTTATTGAGGAACTGTGTTGTCTTGCTGTGGCCTGGGGCTGTTTTTGTTTTCTTTCCCAAGCTTGGGAATTTGTGTACAATATTTATACAATTTGAACGTATATACTTTATTTATTTTATGTATTTATTTTTAAGGATGTTTACCTTTCCTACACTTTGCACTCCAATGTTTTTGTTGTATCGGAACTTTCTGACCCGTCCCTACTGGGCACCTGTGAAAAATAGCTTCATAGCACATCGGACGTATCTAGGATAAATATTCTGATTCAGGCATGTGGACAAAATGACAACATACTATCTTCTAATGACATTTATAAATTATCATGGAAATGACACATTCCTGTGGGTGGTGAGGACTGGTCTCAGCCATCGCTGACTCCATCAACGCGGGACAGCCTCACTCTGCAATGGTTATTTGTATCAACACCAGACACATTCTGGCTTTGAGTCAACTGTGGTCAGAAGATGAACTCAAGATATCACGTTAAGGAGCAAGCGGGTCCACCAACATGGCCATGCAGGAATATTTGTATCGAATTTAATATACGTTATTTTAAAATGGGCTCATCTCTAGAGTATTTGTACTTTGGCCAGTCTAAAAATAATCTGTCCAAACGGGTTTGCGCTGCAGGGATTTTTTAAATTAAACAATGGTTTACATTCGTGCGATAGTTTTGATTTCTCAGGTATGTATGTTCAACTTCATTCGCGCCGTACGTAGCCAACCGTGCCCATGTGATGGCGCAATAGTTTGTGTCTGATTTATATTCGCTTCGTTGCTGTGCGTTGTGTTGTTTTTGTACTATTTATGACCCAGGTCACTTGTAACTGAGACTTATCCTGGTCTCCTTTTGAGTTCTCACCTAGTTAAACAAAACAAACTTTAATTTAATTTAAACTCTCGCGATGCAGCGATTCGGGCACTGAGATGTGAACCTGACGACCTGAGTTTGATTCCTGGTCATGGCTAGCATCACTGCCAAGTGATATTTGAACTAGGCCTGGCACAACGTCACTTCAAACTGTGCTGACCAGCACGGTGAAGTATGGTCAAACAACCCCCATGACTGACACTGGGTTGCGTGTGGAAGCCTTCATCCGACAGTCGGTTGCCAGATCTCGGAAGCTAAACTTAGTTCAGTCTGGATAGTGGCTGGCTGGGTCACCACCATACAAAACAGGTGTTGTGGCTGCTGCGGAACTATGTTGTGGACAGCAGAGGGCAGTGCAGAGATATACATTGTTGTCCCATACTTCTACGCTTCCAAATATTTGCTCTCAGGCTTCACCAACCCACAGTGATCAGTAGCATATCGTAACCGCACACAAACCACGTGGTGACGGGAGGCCCTCATCCCAACAGTTGATTGATAAAAGACTGTACTTCATGTTAGTCTGTTCTATAACGCTGCATGTTTTCATGAGACGAATTGGATGTAACGCGATGAATGTATCAGGGAACACATTTCATAACGTGGATGCGAATTGGAAAGAACGCGATTGAGTGAACAGAACTATGTTACGCGAGTTGGAATAAGCGGTTGTACGGCTGCCTCAGCATAGCGTCGCACAAGGCAGTGGGATGCTGCTGGATGTTTCTAGATGCTACCCACGTGCCTCGGTCTTTGTTCAGCCTGCGTTACGCATCTCACGAGTTATCACAGACTGTGCTTTACCCTATATTAAATATAACGCAATTTTTCCATAACGCGTTATTCTTCAGGAACGGAGCTACCACGTTATAGGAGCACAGACCGTACTTAATCTAAAAAAATATTGCCCGGCCATGTCTAAATTAAGTTACGTGTATTTTATGGTATTTTTTAGGGCCCTGGCACAGACAGCCCAGCAAGGCATTTGGAGTCATTAAAAATAACGTGGAGTTTACGCGAGTTCACGGATGTCAAGGCGCAGCGTGCGGTCTGTGGACATCGGGCGGTAGAGGGAGGTGTGCGCTCGGCAGACGGAATTGCTGGGAGCTGCACCGTTCGTTACTCGCATGCAACGACAAGACCAGAGTTCCACGGTTCAAGTGAGGCAAGGCTCGGTTTATTCTGATACACAATACAGGTCACTGATATACTTAGTCCAAGCAAGGCTCAGTGTACACTGATACACAATACAGGACACTGATATACTTAGTCCAAGCAAGGCTCAGTGTACACTGATACACAATACAGGTCACTGATATACTTAGTCCAAGCAAGGCTCAGTGTACACTGATACACAATACAGGACACTGATATACTTAGTCCATACAAGGCTCAGTGTACACTGATACACAATACAGGACACTAATATACTTAGTCCATGCATGGCTCAGTGTACACTGATACACAATACAGGACACTGATATACTTAGTCCATACAAGGCTCAGTGTACACTGATATACAATACAGGACACTGATATACTTAGTCCACACAAGGCTCAGTGTACACTGATACACAATACAGGACACTGATATACTTAGTCCATGCATGGCTCAGTGTACACTGATACACAATACAGGACACTGATATACTTAGTCCATGCATGGCTCAGCGTACACTGATACACAATACAGGACACTGATATACTTAGTCCATACAAGGCTCAGTGTATGCTGATACACAATACAGGACACCGATATACTTAGTCCATGCATGGCTCAGTGTACACTGATACACAATACAGGACACCGATATACTTAGTCCATGCAAGGCTCAGCGTATGCTGATATACAATACAGGACACTGATATACTTAGTCCACACAAGGCTCAGTGTACACTGATACACAATACAGGACACTGATATACTTAGTCCATGCAAGGCTCAGTGTACACTGATATACAATACAGGACACTGATATACTTAGTCCATGCATGGCTCAGTGTACGCTGATACACAATACAGGACACTAATATACTTAGTCCATGCAAGGCTCAGTGTACACTGATACACAATACAGGACACTGATATACTTAGTCCATGCATGGCTCAGTGTACGCTGATACACAATACAGGACACTGATATACTTAGTCCATGCATGGCTCAGTGCACACTGATACACAATACAGGACACTGATATACTTAGTCCATGCATGGCTCAGTGTACGCTGATACACAATACAGGACACTGATATACTTAGTCCATACAAGGCTCAGTGTACGCTGATACACAATACAGGACACTGATATACTTAGTCCATACAAGGCTCAGTGTACACTGATACACAATACAGGACACTGATATACTTAGTCCATGCATGGCTCACTATATGCTGATATACAATACAGGACACTGATATACTTAGTCCATGCATGGCTCAGCGTACACTGATACACAATACAGGACACTGATATACTTAGTCCATGCAAGGCTCAGTGGACACTGATACACAATACAGGACACTGATATACTTAGTCCATGCATGGCTCAGTGTACGCTGATACACAATACAGGACACTGATATACTTAGTCCATACAAGGCTCAGTATACGCTGATATACAATACAGGACACTGATATACTTAGTCCAAGCATGGCTCAGCGTACACTGAACACAATACAGGACACTGATATACTTAGTCCATGCATGGCTCAACGTACACTGATACACAATACAGGACACTGATATACTTAGTCCATGCATGGCTCAGTGTACACTGATACACAATACAGGACACTGATATACTTAGTCCATACAAGGCTCAGTGTACACTGATACATAATACAGGACACTAATATACTTAGTCCATGCATGGCTCAGTGTACACTGATACACAATACAGGACACTGATATACTTAGTCCACACAAGGCTCAGTGTACACTGATACACAATACAGGACACTAATATACTTTGTCCATACAAGGCTCAGTGTATGGTGATACACAATACAGGACACTGATATACTTAGTCCACACAAGGCTCAGTGTACACTGATACACAATACAGGACACTAATATACTTAGTCCATGCAAGGCTCAGTGTACACTGATGCACAATACAGGACACCGATATACTTAGTCCATGCATGGCTCAGTGTACACTGATACACAATACAGGACACTAATATACTTAGTCCATACAAGGCTCAGTGTATGCTGATACACAATACAGGACACTGATATACTTAGTCCACACAAGGCTCAGTGTACACTGATACACAATACAGGACACTGATATACTTAGTCCATGCAAGGCTCAGTGTACACTGATGCACAATACAGGACACTGATATACATAGTCCATACAAGGCTCAGTGTATGCTGATACACAATACAGGACACTGATATACTTAGTCCACACAAGGCTCAGTGTACACTGATACACAATACAGGACACTGATATACTTAGTTCATGCATGGCTCAGTGTACACTGATACACAATACAGGACACTGATATGCTTAGTCCATGCATGGCTCAGCGTACACTGATACACAATACAGGACACTGATATACTTAGTCCATGCATGGCTCAGTGTACGCTGATACACAATACAGGACACTGATATACTTAGTCCATGCATTGCTCAGCGTACACTGATACACAATACAGGACACTGATATACTTAGTCCATGCATGGCTCAGTGTACACTGAAACACGATACATCGGCCTCTTCGGCTTTCCAAACTAATATTATCAAGCAGCATTTTTTTAAAGCAAGTAAACTCTGAACCTGATTCAACTTCGTGGTGCTTTTGCCAATGACGTCTGGCAAACTCAGCTGCAGTGGTTTAACAAGCCTGACTGCTGATGAGACACAAACGGACGAAACTGGTCACGAGTTTGCTTGCTTGCTTCAATAAATGCTGCTGGACATCATTGATCTGCAAAGCCAAGAGGCTTTACGCGTCATTTTACCCATAATGCTCCACGCATCAGCACGTGTACGATACGCGTACGAGTTCACAAACTCGTGTTCCCTTGGCACAGCGTGGCCAATGAGGAACCGCGTAGCTTCTGGGGCTTCTGAACTCGGCAAGTCAATAAGGAAGGAATATTTTTTCTTCACTTTTTTTATTTGTGGGCAGCTAGGAAGCTCGAAAGCCTCGTGGTTTGGGTGCTCGCCACAGGGCCAGCTGCGCGGGGTTGACGGTTTGATACCTGCAGTGGCTCCTCAGTGTAGCTTCTGCATTAAGGATAGATGGTGTAAATAGCAACATATACGTAAAGTGGATGTTTAAAAAATAAATCCCCCAGGCAACATTTGCAGGTACTGCTGTGTCGGTAACGCTGCTGTGTAGCTCTCCGATGCGCCCGCGGGTTGCACCGAGTGGTGTTCGGCACGGTTTCTGCGTTTCGTTCCAAATGCTGCGAGCTTCCAAGCAGCATGTGGAGTGAAAGTAACACACACCATGCCAAACTATTTCAACAATTTTTATATTACCAGGTAAGGCCCCACTGAGCTATATAGTTATTTTTCAGAAGCGACCTGGCCACAAATGGTAGCTCAACGAAGCGGCTTATCACGTGGAAATTTATAGCAGCAGCCAAATTCTCTAAACCCGTGACGTTGATTCTAAATGTGGAAGGAAAAACCGGAGGACCGGAGAAAAATCCACGCGACCACGGGGAGAGAGAGACACCGCCAATTCCAAATATACAGCAGGCGTCAGGGTCGGGATCGAACCCATAACCTCCTGTATCCCAAGCGAGGGAGTTAACATCTTACCACCGCTGTACAACCCAAAAACACATCCAAGGGCAACATTTCAAAGTGTAGGTCGTGCTGCTGAGTAAATACAAAACACGAATATTTCCGCGTTTAAAGCCAGCCTGCTGAGCTGCGAGTGGGTCAGGAGGTGGCAGTATAAGCACATGGGATTGTAACCCATCAGTGCAAACCGTTGTGAGTGTCGTTCCGGAGTTTCTGCGGGATTTATCTGGACTCCCAGGTTTCCTCCCAAAATAATAATCGAAAAAGGAATTGGCCCATCGACATAACCGTGGCCCTCGTAAAAAAATGGTGATGGTACTTAATGGGGTTGTCTTGGATAACATTATCACAGTCTAAATAAAGACAACTTGTGAAAACATTCTTAGAATACAACTAAATTGTGAAACGTGAATTTCACCTTTCAAACGTTTTTGACTACGTAAGAGATAATGGACGTCAGTGTTCTGTCTGACTAAATAGCATTTGATGTAGGCCTCGGTATGACAGTAACAGTTTACATTTAGACCGTGCCACCGCATCACGACGGGATTCCCCATGGCACACGCGCGGCGACTCGCAGCATTCGGCACCACATCGGTGAGAGTGAAGGGGATGATCTCAGGTGAGAAGTGAAGCTCAACGTAAGCTTACTCTGCAGGACTGTGAGCAAATCACCCAGAATGCACCTACGTGCGTGTGCGTGTGCGCTGAACTTATTTCGCACCGTGCTTAGCCAAGCGTGCTAATCGAAGGTGCGCGGGAAGGACAATAAACTAAACGCACGCAACAAAAAATGCACCTCAATCTCGGCCGATCTCGGCAGCTAAGCAGATTTGAGCCTGGATAGTGGGTATATGGGGGACGACCGTACACAAAGCAGGTGGTATAGGCTGCTCTAGGCTTACGTTCTCGCCAGGTGGCAGTAGAGAGAAATCCATTGTTGTACTGCGCCACAATGGGTGATGCTCATTGCCTGAGCCAATAAGTTGAAATTCCACATTTAGTCAATCCTCATGAGCTACAACTGAGACTCCCCTACCAGCAAAATAGCCAAGCTGAAATTATGACCCTGTTGTTAAATGTTAAAGAAGCCAGTGAGGAGGCTGCACTTTGCCTCGATCTCCAAAAGACGAAGGTGATGGCGACAGAACTGAACTCATTCAATCTGGAAAATGAACCAATCGCAGTTGTGAAGGACTTTGTTTTCCTGGGTTCCTTGATTGCTGAAGATAAGGAGTGTAACGACGAGATCAAATGGTGGCTAGTTCACGGCAGAACAAGCAACGTCACAGCTCAATAAATATATGGAGAGACAGGGACATTACCATAAACACCAAGAAGAGGCTTGTCAAAGCTCTGGTATTCCCTGTTGCCCTGAATGGATG